CTCCCTGAGTTCCATTCTACAACCGGAGAACACGCGGTAGTACGCCGTCACAGAATAATCAGACGCGGCGAAGGTACTTCGAGGCTTTCCTCTATCCATGATAACTAAATGTTCGAGGACGAACATTCTAATTTTGGGGAGATAATGTTATGATACGACATGAGCCAGATTATAGATTCTGGGCATCCTGTATAATACGAAGGACGAAGAGTCTAAACATTCCTGATCGGGGTTACCCCTCACCTACTGTATAGAAGGGTTCCGAACTATAAAGGAGCGTGAGGCTGAGACATCCCTGAAGAAGGATAACACTTTTTAGACATCGAGAATACGACAGATAGACTAGGCCTATCCACTAAGGCTGAACTATCTATAAACCGATCTACTCGTAGTTTAAGAGACAGCTCCAGGCTGTTTCATAATAGAAGGAATACCAGGCTAAAATTATATCTCCAAACAAATCTTTATGCGGCATATTTAAAAAGTAAATTTCAGGGAAATTCTTTTGAAGTCTCTCTCCTAGGCACTGGCCTCGTACAGCTAAACATTGCTGAGCGGCTGGGGGGAATAAAAGGGTTGGACCGAGCTTCTGTTTTTCAAAGAAAAATAAAAGAAAATGACATCATATTATATTTTCGTTAGTGGTGGGGTTTTACATCCCTCCAGTGACACCCTATAATCTGATGTTTCTTTTGAAGAGTTTGAAAGATGTCAGACCTCACCATCAAAAAGATTTAAAGAAAAAAAGCCTTTAATAGGTCGCAACATTGGCTCAGGTTTGAAGGGGCGAGCTTGAACTCACGAAATCTCCGATTGAGGATGTGACTCCCTTCAAAAAGACGCCTGTTCATAACCAATGTCAAGCACTTGAATAAAAGTATTTAAATATGCATGTCCTATAGTGATGAATCTATCAAAGATGTACAGCTGCTTCCTCGTTTCGAGTCAAATCTACTGCTGTGATGTTATGAAGCTGTTATTGAAAAGTTGCGATAATAGCCTTCAACATCGGTCTTTTGTAAGCTTTTGTGATTTTCTCTTTGATTAATTCAAGACAATTGTTTTGACGTAACTCTGTCGTTGAGTGTATGTTTAAGCAAATTTGTCGCTCATTAAGTAATCGGTCACAAATTTTGCAAGGCCTGAGACCTATATGACTACAATGGATTGTTGGAAGTCGTGACTTCAAGACAAGTGTCCTAATAAGTATTTACTAATAACTACTAGAATCCCACATTGAGGCCAATTCAATAAACTTCTTCCACAATGTTTCCTGGTTTCACAAAAAGAAGCTCACTCATAGTTCGTCCAGCATCTTAGCTTCTTCGCTCTTCTGGGTAAAGGTGCTTTTGAACTGGTCAGCTTTATTGGTGCTCTTCTCACTGCAAAAAGCACCAGAAAATTCTGGATGAGTTTGGAAATGATCAAATCCAATTGGACTGTCCAAAACATATCCCGAAAAAGCGTCAGCCTCAGGAAACGCAATCATATAGGAAGTCTCCGAGTCAATCAGAGCAACATAGTTGAGGCATTTATCTAACTGCTTATCTGGACCTTTCGTATCAAAATCTCTGAATTCCTTGGAGTAAATAGCCACTACTGAGTCACAGGGATTGTCAACAATATACCGATTTGAGTCTTCACCAAGGCATTCGATAAATCTGCTCATTTGGGGGAAAGCAAGGGTCACTGAAACAGCAGACAAAAAGGAGATCTTTGAAATTAATTGCATTTTGTATCTAGCGAAATTTTTTTAGAAAGAAAAAGTTAGTGTTCAACGCCTCGAATTTTCTGGGCTTGTGCTTAAATATTTTCGCACTTATGTTAGTCTGTTTTTGAGCGTGGGGAATTTGCACCCAAAGCACACAAAGTGAAACGGCGCGGAAATGATATTTTGAGATTGATCTACAAATGTATTCTTGACCAGAATTTTCCTTTTCACGGATTAGCAGTCTCAAACATTCCAGCAAACTTACGCAAGGTGTCTACAGGGTACACACATGGTATTTCATTTGCTCAAGCATATGTCATTCTAATAAAAGTACATTTAATTTGGAAGGAAAATATAAATAAATTTTACTTTATATGAGTGAAATAGAACCCTTGTCGATCAGCCTAGCAAAAGCTTTATTAGATTTAGAGAATTCTTGAGTGTTCAGAAGATTCCTCCTCGTGAAAATCTACAGTGCTAGTGCTTTGTGGGAAGAGTGTTGCAAAGTCATCAGTCTCCTTTGGGTCGTCCCACCATGGAATCTGCTCTTCGGCCTTGAAGAAGGTGTAGATTTTGCTCACATCCAGCAAACCAGACATTGCCCTTATGCACTCACTTAATCTTTTATCTATTCCAACGGGATCAAAGACTCTAGTGGTAGTAGGGCAAATGGAAAAAACCCCTTGATTGGAGTTATTGATCTTATACTTTTTGTACGATTCTCCCAAGCAGCTTCTCAAGGTGGGCGGTTTGGAAGTAAGCGACGTGATAGCTGTTACGATAGCGAGATAAATGGTGATCCAAAAAGGCATTCTAGATATTACTTATTTTTTAAAGAAAAAAAGGGTAGCAGAACTTACACATGTACGCAAAACGTTCGTAGGGCCTGGCCTTTGTGACATTTTGCCTCCGTGCCTCATTGATCAGCACATGATATAGTCGCAAATTGGGAAATGGCGTATGCGGTGCGTTGATTGACAAGTTACGTGCAATCAAAGGTAGTGTTTATTGTAATTTTTGCAATAATCTTTCAAGGCATCTGTCTCTACCTTCTTGAATGTTTGTTATATAAAGGATCGTTTTACGTGTCATATAGAAATGGCACAGTCAATGACAGAGTATAGAGAGGTTTTATCATCAAATACATCATAACTACAAAACAATTTCGAGCTCGATCAGAAATTAAGGGCATATCTATACATAATTATTTTTCTGTCTCCGCCTTGATATGATAACAATTCCTATTTGTAGAAAGAAGTAGTTTCTGATTTGCGAAAATATGCTTTATGACCTAAATAGGCCCGCCAGAAAGTAAGCTATGTATACCGTACTTATCCTGTGAGTAGGCTAGTTGGCAGTGATAAAAAACATCGAATATTAATCCCGATCATACACAGCTTAAAGGAAAAAAATTCAAACTATTTTAATGAATTCACGGCAATTTGCAAAGAAAATGCTGAATTTACACTTTGGTTGTGTTGGGCAATCAAACCACTACAGGGACCTAGGTCTGCGTAATTTTTCAAATCTACTTGAATAATTGGTCTCCTTAATATTTATTTGTTGAGCGTTGATTCAAAACTCTTGTATCTCAAACACACGCAGTAAAATTCAAGTTTAAAAGACTATTCCTTCAGGACAATTTCAGAGGAAGGAAAAAAAAAATCAGAGCCGGTAAAGCTCCATTAGCAATGTTTTTCTCGATTTAAAATCGAGTGCTTGAATACATAAATCGGTCGTTATTCCAGAAAACAATTGAAAGAAATAACTTCACACAATCAAAAATAATCAAAGTTTAGTGAGTTTAATCTTTTGATCTGCGTTAATGATGGCTTCCCAATTGCCGGTTAATCCTTGCTTGTTCCATGATATTTGCACTCATTGTGAAGACAAAGTTGCAAAATAAAAGCAAGGTCGAATCACCTGTTTTTAGATGATTTTTCGATTTTAAATTTGTGGAAGCTGTTAGGAAATATTTTCATAACTGCAAGCCAATATAATAGCAAGAAGAATACGCAAGCCCGTATTATCGGTCATTTAAGGCCATTCAGTAATGCTTTCTCCATCGCGCGATAGAAGATAATGTTTATGAAAAAAAAAAAAAAAAAAAAAAAAAAAAAACCCCCAAAAAAGGCCCAATG